CCCTCTCTAGCTGTCTCTGTCAAATAAATAAAATAAAATATTTAAAAAAAAACATACAAAATAACAAACTGTAAATGCGCTTTGATGTAATTTGGTTTCTCATTGGATAATTACTGATTGATAATGGTTGGAGGCTTTATGGCCAACAAGGCCACTGATAGAGTAGAAACCAAAATTATGTGAATTAAAAATTAGCAATTTTAATTCTAATGAGTGCTACTTTTTTTCCTCTTTAGAAACAAAACTGGTATCAATTGCACAGAAATGTTGTCATTCTTATTGTTGGTGGTGATGGTGTTGATGCAAAAGACTAGAAATAAAAATCTATATAAGCTAAGCTCTCAGAGTTACCTGAAAATATAAAAAGGCAGTTTTCACATATAATATTAATATCTCAGTGATTGGAATTGAGGAATGGATGATTTGTAGTTTAATGGCTTAATCCTTAACTCTTAATGACAAATCTTGGTGGATTTAGGTATGTTTGGCAGAAATGACATTACAAAGTTCAGGAGTGCCTTGAATTATTCAGCATCACTGGTAATAAATAAATAAATAAATAACCCTTGTCACTTAGCCACTGAGAATGATAGAAGAAAGGTGATGTTTCTATAACACATACACGGAAACAACTTTCTAGAGAGAGATCTGAAAGAACACTCTAGCACTCTGTTCTTGGCTTTAAGCCAAATTTGCCTCCAGCTTTCATAGGAGAGAAAACTCAGTTCAGTTTTCATGACTTACATACAAATCAGGTGTAACAAAATTGCTTCATAAAAAATGTATAGATCTAAACTGGTTCCTATTCCCTCACACTGAAATTAACTCAACTCCCTTTTCCTGGCTTCTATCACTGTGATAAGTGATCGCTGTACACGTCCTCTGGCACTTTTCAGTAATGACCACTACAATTTCAAAGGTAATTTTTATCCTCTCCCATTCATCTACAGCATATTTCCCAAGAATTTCCTTTATAATTTTGTGTAAAGAGGAATGAAGCCATAATCATGAGAAGTGTTTATTTCATATTTTTTTAAAAAGTATTTCTTTGTGGTCTAATAGATGAACTCATAACCCTTCAAGCTGAGGACATCATCAAGAAAGCAGTTCCTCCCTTGACCTGTACCATGGTATTTTTTTTTTAATTTTTTTATTGTTATGTTAATCCCCATACATTACATCATTAGATTTAGATGTAGTGTTCCATGATTCATTGTTTGTGCATAACACCCAGTGCTCCATGCAGAACGTGCCCTCCTCAATACCCATCACCAGGCTAACCCATCCCCCCACCCCCCTCCCCTCTAGAACCCTCAGTTTGTTTTTCAGAGTCCATCGTCTCTCATGGTTCGTCTACCCCTCTGATTTTCCCCCCTTCATTCTTCCCCTCCTGCTACCTTCTTTTTTTTTTTCTCTTAACATATATTGCATACCATGGTATTTTTAAACAGCCAAAGGTTGATGGCCACAGGGCAACACTTAATTTGCTTTCTCCCAATTGATTATATTTCACAGTACTTCGAGGGTCTCAAAAGACATTAGCTATGTCATTCAAGGAATCACAACACCTGTTCTAACGATGGAGCTAATTTAGTTCCCAGTAACTTATCTTAATCAAATTTAAATGGGATATGTGATGCTGTCTTGTGTAAATAGTTTCTTTGCATTCATGTCACACTGGGCTATCAAGGAGCAATGTTTTTATAGTAGTTATTTTTACGCTGACTGCAATAATGAGAGAGTCATTGACTCATGAGACCCAGAAAACAGATAAGCTTGAAGTTGGTATTTATGTAACCATTGTCAATTGTTTATACTGTTTATATGACCTTTCTCTTTTCTAGAAAGGTCATAATAAAGAGTTATTATTCTCAGTTCCAAATAGAGAAGAACACCAGAAGGTAATTGGCTGAAAATTGAATAGCAAGTATAGTCATATATTTAATACAGTGCCTTTCATATAGTAGTTAACCAACGAAGTAAGAAAAGTCACAGGAGAGAAGAGAGGAGAGGTGAGAGGAGATAAGAGATGAGGGAAGCTGAAAGAGGAGAAGATAGAATGACGTAACTGCTATTATACTTTTTAAATCAAAGTCTTCCCTGCTGTATTCTTCCCTGTTAGAATCAAATTCTACCTCCCTAAAAGAATTGATGTCCTTCTTCTAAATGTGTAATCACGCATATATTCTAAACTGATAATAAGTTGCCTTCTTTGCTCCATTTAGTTATTTCTTTGATTTAATTCTGTAGCCAAACACTATCTGAAAGTGGGATAGAACATTTGTATATGCCACAGAGTACTGATTACACATAGAGTCTTAGACTCGTGGCTTCCCTTATGACAGACCCTGCTGGTACCCAAACGCTTTATGCTTTTGGCAATTTCAGTTCACATACCATATACAAATGAAAGCAGCATAATAAAGTCAGTGAGAGAGAAAATTATGCAGTTATAATGACGGGATAATATATGGAAGTTTCCTGATTCAGTCTTTTCTGTCACTGCACAGCAATAACTAACATCATGTAGTATCTTAAATTTATAGATCTTAAGATCCAAACATTACAATGTGTCTTAAAAACTAGACTTATTAGTAAAATATAAAGGCATATTCATTACCTAATAATTACTCAGAAAATAATATCTTAGTTGGGTATTATTACATCAACAAAATTCTAAGTTAAATTTTTCTAGCAGTTTTCTGTCAGTTATGGGAGACGATTTTTCACTAAAGAAGTAAATATTATATTTATTATCCTATATATGATGATTATAATATAGATATGTGATTCAAGACCAAACTGAGACATACACTTCAAACTAACATGATTTGTCAATTATTAGCAAAGTCTGTGAAAGAGAAAACAAAGGAAACAGGCAGCATGTGGGATTTAAAAACAGATAAATTCTGAAAGAAATCAATGCCCAAGATCTCCCTAATACTTCCTTTGTGGTTAATCTTGGAAGCTCTTTAGTTGTGGAGGGACTACTCTTCTGAAACACCATCTCAGTTTGTCTGCCTGTGCTTTAAATACAATACTATTTATAAAACACCTCTTTTGACATTTTTATCTGAGCCCTCTCCATTGCATTCCATGTGTTGGGGTCAAAATAAATGGCAAAGATGGAGTGAATCAATCCCGTAAGACTCCCTTTCTGCTTACATTGAATCAGATAACAAGAGAAATATTAACACATGGGCACTCAAACACCAGATTTGCAATCATCAAATATATAATTAATAATGATAAGTACTATTATTTATTTTTTTTTTACCATTTGAAAAAAGATTTGAATGAGCCTTATACTCAAAGAGCCAGACTTTTTCATATCTTCATGAGTGCCCCTGACTTGCAAAGTTAGGAAATGAATTCACAATCCAGTTTTCTATGAACTGATAACAGATCCAACTAGACAATTCCTATAGCAAAGGACTTACAGAGCTGAGCCAATATTAAAATGTCTTCAAAATCCATTAACCATGATTATCAATATTTTCCTTTCCGTATTTCATGTGAAATCCTATCTGATATGGAGTCAGGGCAAATAGTACATGCACTGTTACCCAGGCAAAAATTTTTCTTATTCAGAAGTCATATAGTTTAAATGGTAGAAATATGTTAGGAAGAATATAATATTATCAGACTTTGATGCATACAGAGGACTACAGAAGAGCAGCAACACAGATAACTAAGTGGCAGACTTTGAAGGAATATACCATAAGTTAAGGAAAATTGGCATTAAC